AAGCGACACAAACTGGTTCGAGTAAATAACAGTTTGTCTGGATACATTTTCGTCCTCAAAACCTCTGAATGGCTCAGTGAAACTGCGTCCTGCGTTTCCAACTGAACATGCTCCTAATCCCGTGGTGTGTGAATTCTGTTCACCAGATGCGTGTCCTATTGCATCATCCACTTTGCACTTGTGAAGTAACTCCTTGTACAAGTACAGAACTCATGTGCGATTCTCCAGCCAAAGTCGTCGAAACTTACGAATTTGACTCTCAATGACCACTATCGTGTATACTCTGTCCTCACTCTCTTACACCCTTGGTAAAAGAAATCACGTGCACCCTTGGCAACGAGTTTTCCAGTTGGCAAAATATTTCAGAATGTTGGGGCACTCAGATAGCTAAAATCTTTATTTAAATTCAAATGAATTCACAATTAATCAAATTATTAACATTTTTTCTTACACTTGTGGTTTGCCTCTCTTCAACTTCTAATAGCGTCACTTTCTTCTCCTTAAATTCTTAAGTTTTCCAATACTAACGATAAAAACTAACTAACAGTGTTGAACAACTTAAGAGTATTTTTAAACTAACAGATAAATTCAAATAAATCGACTTTTGAAATGGACAGTTAGCGCGCGGCTAAACCTTCTTATTAGCCTCGCAACATAAACCATTTTATGTACACAGTTTTTCTAATAATTACGATATAATAATTGGCAAAAAAATGTTGAAAAATGCACAATCAATTATAAATTACAAAAATAGCACAGTTACCCTTTTTGATAAAAAATACAAATTAATTACTTCAAAATCAGTAAAAAACCAAAATTTGTATATCCAGAAACCATAAAATATTCAGCTCAGGAATCAATAAAAAAAAAGATTTTGAATTGTTTCGATTAGGTCACCTGAATCAGGAGGAAACTTTAGGGTTAAAAGCTTTATTAAATAAATTCAAAAATCTTCCATATGAAGAATGAGACAATCTAACATTTACATATACTATTAAGCACGTACTAAGTACAACACATAACTCCCCAATTTATTCAAAACAATACCCACTTGCACGAAATTGTAGTCGAAAACCAAGTGCAAGAAATGCTTAATCAGGGATTAAGTAGGGAAAGTAATTCACCGTACAATAGTCCTACCTGGGTAATACCTAAAAAATCAGATGCTTCTGGTAAAATTAAGTATATAGTAGTAATAGACTATAGGAAACTTAATGAAATAACTATCCATGACAGATATCCAATACCAAACATGGACGAAATCCTTGATAAACTAGGAAAATGTCAATATTTTACAACTATCGATTTAGCTAAGGGATTCCATCAAATAGAAATGGACCCACAATCAATATCAAAAACAGAATTTTCCACCAAAAGCGGTCATTACGAATTCCTTCGAATGCCATTTGGCCTTAAAAATGCACCCACTACTTTTCAAAGGTGCATGAATAATATCCTTCGACCGTTGCTTAACAAACACTGTTTAGTGTATTTAGATGATATTATAATTTTTCCCACATCCCTTACCGAACATTTAAATTCTTACAACTATTTTTTCTCAAACTTGCAGAAGCTAATTTAAAATTGCAGTTAGACAAATATGAATTTTTAAAAAAAGAAGCTAGCTTTCTTGGTCACATCGTAACCCCTAATGGCATAAAACCAAACCCCCTTAAAGTTAAAGCCATAGTTTCCTATCCAATTCCAACAAAAGTAAAAGAGATCAGAGCTTTTCTTGGATTAACCGGTTATTATCGCAAATGTATTCCAAACTACGCAGACATAGCAAAACCAATGACCAAATGTTAAAAAAAAAAGGAGCAAAGATAGATACACAAAATCTCGACTACATAGAAGCATTCAAAAAACTTAAAGCTTTAATAATTAGAGAACCAATTCTCCGATTGCCCGATTTTGAAAAGAAATTCACTTTAACCACAGATGCCAGTAATCTAGCCCTTGGGGCCGTACTTTCTCAAAATTGTCATCCTATATTCTTTTTTAGCAGAACACTTAATGAACACGAATTAAATTACAGTGCTATCGAAAAGGAATTACTCGCAATAGTTTGGGCCACTAAAACTTTTCGACATTATTTACTAGAACGACATTTTCTCATTGCTGGTGACCATCAACCTTTAAGATGGCTGCATACCTTAAAAGAACCGAATGCCAAGTTACAAAGGTGGAGAGCCAAATTAAATGAATACAAATTTTAAATCTATTATATTAAAGGAAAGGAAAATTCAGTTGACGATGCATTATAAAGAATTAAAATTGAAGAAAATCATCATAGTGAAGTTACTCAACATAGTGCAGAAGAAGACAATAGTAACCTTATTCATTTAACAGAAAACCCAATAAACTATTTAAAATAATTAATTCATTAAATAATTTTCATTAAATCCGATAAAATTAAAGTAGAGCATTCAACTATATATTTGGTAACTCCATTACCACAATTCAATATAATGAAATAACACTTGAAAAGGCCAGACAAATTTTACGTGATCATTTTATTCATAGAAACATTACCATTTATATTGAGAGCGATTTAGATTTTGAAATTATTCAAAGAGCATACAAGGAAATTATTAATACCACATACACTAAAGTAATTCGCAGCCTCTACCTATTAAAGAATGTTTGTTCATACATCGAATTCAAACAAATAATTCTTCAATCCCATGAAAAACTTTTACATCCAAATAGCCAACTTTTAATTCAAAATATAATAAATGAATGTAACATATGCAATTTGGCTAAAACAGAAAACAGAAATACCAAAATGACTTTTAAAATCACACCCAACCCTGAACATTGTCGAGACAAATTTGTGGTAGATATTTATTCATCTGAGGGAAATCATTACATCAGTTGCATTGACATTTATTCTAAATTCGCTACACTTGAACATATTAAAACAAAGGATTGGATAGAATGCAGGAACGCGCTAATGCGCATTTTTAATCAGTTAGGTAAACCCAAAATATTAAAGGCAGACAGAGACGGAGCTTTCACCAGCTTGACTCTAAAGCGATGTCTTGAAGCTGAAGGAATTGGATTACAACTTAACAAGGCAAAAACCTATGTATCAGACGTCGAAAGACTACATAAGACAATAAATGAAAAAGTCCGAATAATCAACTCATCCGATAATGAAGAAGTAAAATTAAGCAAGATAGAGACAATTCTTTAGACATACAACCATAAAATAAAACATGACACCACTGGACAAACACCTGCTCAAATATTCTTATACGCTGGACATCCAATATTAAACACTCAAAATATTAAAGAAAGGAAAATAGATAAAATAAATAGATAATAGATAATAAAAGATCGACAGGAATTTAACATTGACACTAGATACAGAAAAGGTCCTCTTCAAAAGGGAAAACTAGAAAATCTATTTAAAGCTAATAAAAATGTAAAAAAAAAAGACGAAGACCATTACAAAATAACTAATCGAAAAAGGAAAACCCAATACTACAAAACACAATTTAAGAAACAACAAATAACAAATGCCGTTAAACTTCCACAAAAATAACGAATTACTACTTATTTCTCATACCCTTATTAACCACAAAATCATTAACACCATTAAAATAATTCCTTATCCCGACCATAATAGGTATCAGTTAGACTATTCAGATCAACTATCATATTTTGAAGATGAGAATAAAATGTATAATCAAGACAATAAAGAAGTTAATAATGAATGCATTAAAAATATAATTAAGCGTAAGAATCAAATTTGTAATTTTATACCAACTTTATCAAAAGAAATTATTCAATACGTTGAACCAAATATTATACTTACTTGGAATTTAACTGAAACTACAATCGAACAATTGTCAAGAATTAAATGGCGATATAATAATAAATGGAAGCAAAATTATTAGAATAAAACAATGTAGAGTTAAAATTGAAAATGTTATTTTAAGCTAAAATTCGTTAAGTCCAGAATTTTTTTAACACCATTGTATTCACCGATTAATATAACTAAGGTAAAGATAGTAGAACATAATGACGTTTTAAAACTAATTTCAGCAAATAATGCCACACTTTTTGTAATAATAATAATTGTAGTTATCGTTCTTTTTATTTTTCTTGTCCTATCAAAAATTTTTACACTAAATCCACTTACCTTTTTATATACAAAATTTTGAAAACAAGCAAAAAATATTCAAGAACCACAACAAGAAATAGAACCGGCATAAAACCAGTTGCCTGCATTGTATAGTTACTTTTTTTTTTGGATTTTTAAAAATTTTTTTTCCTGAATGCACAACATCTTGAGAATATAGTGTTAAAGTTTTAGATCGATCCGAGTAAAACTTCCGAACTTATGGGCAGTTGAACGTAGGTAAGTTAGCTCGTTTTGTATGGGTGTCCAAAACTTTAAAACGCTCTCCTGAAAAGTTACCCTTTTCAAAGTCGGTGTACACGATCCTGCAAAATCTATCGGAAGGATCGTTTTGAAATTTTGCACAGTTGTTCTCAACTAAATTCCTCAGGTAACGCTGTCGAGTTTTTTTTTTTTTTTAATGTATTATATTTAGAGCAACAAATATCTCGACGTTTTAGGCGAAAATCGGTGTTGTTGACTTACAAGTGCCTTAAAAAATCGAAAAAAATATAAAAAAAGTAAAAACTCGATAGCGTTACCTGAGGAATCTTGTCCTTTCACTAATGCAATTTGATTTTTTGAATTAAGATAATTTTGTGACCAGTTATCGTGTATACCGCAAAACGTGTTTTCTTTGAGGCGCCTCCGGATCTCACTCAATTTTTATTATTTTTGGATGAAAAAATTCACACATGTTGTTTAAATGTTATCCTATCACATGCAAAAAATTGAGCTGAGGCTATCCGTATCGCCAATAAAAATTCTTAAAAAATGACCGCTTTTGCTCCGAATTAACTATATGATAATTAACTAAATGTAATTAATTTAAAATACCTTAAAAATAAGTCTTTATTAATCTGACACATACCCTCATATTATCCATAAGCTCGTCCTGACTCGATGCATTTTTTAGTTTATTTAGATCGTCCTCAACGATATGAAGCGATTTTAGTAGCAAATGAACATCTACCATGTCAGCTAAAATTAGCAAACGGGTTACAGCTGATAATAGATTTCTAGCTGCCCGTACCATATTTCCCCGCTTTAAGGAACTGCATGGGTCTTCAGAAAATTCTCTGGCTGCAATGCTCATAGCATCTCCAGTTTTTTTTACTTCATCGACAGCGGTTAGCATTTCTTGTGTAATGTCTGGGTTCTCATAGGCAATCTGTTCACCTTTTTGAATAAAATTTTCCGTTGCCTTCTCAACAGCTGCAACTAACGCACTGGCACGTTTTGATTTTCCTATAAATAAATAATGTAAACTATTATGAAACTTGGTATAAATATTCCACATTAGAAAAACTATTTTTATACATTACTTTTAAATACATTCTAATATATTTACTAATTGCACTATTAAAGATAAACAGAATAATAATATTTTATTTAACTAGCAACACCTGCCGCAACATTGCCCAAGACTATAAGCAAAGCATTTCTTATTTTATTTATTGAATACACTAGGTCTAAATAAAAAACAAAAATAAATGATTTCATTGATAAAATTTAAATAAAGGACATAGTCACACCACCCCACAAAGGAGACGTTTTCGACCCTATAAAGTATATTCTTGATCAGGATCAATAGGAAAGTCGATATAGCCATGTCTGTCTGTCTGTCTGTCTGTCTGTCTGTCTGTCTGTCTGTCTGTCTGTCTGTCTGTCTGTCTGTCTGTCTGTCTGTCTGTCTGTCTGTCTGTCTGTCTGTCTGTCTGTCTGTCTGTCTGTCTGTCTGTCTGTCTGTCTGTCTGTCTGTCTGTCTGTCTGTCTGTCTGTCTGTCTGTCTGTCTGTCTGTCTGTCTGTCTGTCTGTCTGTCTGTCTGTCTGTCTGTCTGTCTGTCTGTCTGTCTGTCTGTCTGTCTGTCTGTCTGTCTGTCTGTCTGTCTGTCTGTCTGTCTGTCTGTCTGTCTGTCTGTCTGTCTGTCTGTCTGTCTGTCTGTCTGTCTGTCTGTCTGTCTGTCTGTCTGTCTGTCTGTCTGTCTGTCTGTCTGTCTGTCTGTCTGTCTGTCTGTCTGTCTGTCTGTCTGTCTGTCTGTCTGTCTGTCTGTCTGTCTGTCTGTCTGTCTGTCTGTCTGTCTGTCTGTCTGTCTGTCTGTCTGTCTGTGTCTGTCTGTCTGTCTGTCTGTCTGTCTGTCTGTCTGTCTGTCTGTCTGTCTGTCTGTCTGTCTGTCTGTCTCTGTCTGTCTGTCTGTCTGTCTGTCTGTCTGTCTGTCTGTCTGTCTGTCTGTCTGTCTGTCTGTCTGTCTGTCTGTCTGTCTGTCTGTCTGTCTGTCTGTCTGTCTGTCTGTCTGTCTGTCTGTCTGTCTGTCTGTCTGTCTGTCTGTCTGTCTGTCTGTCTGTCTGTCTGTCTGTCTGTCTGTCTGTCTGTCTGTCTGTCTGTCTGTCTGTCTGTCTGTCTGTCTGTCTGTCTGTCTGTCTGTCTGTCTGTCTGTCTGTCTGTCTGTCCGTCTGTCTGTCTGTCTGTCCGTCTGTCCGTCTGTCTGTCTGTCCGTCTGTCTGTCTGTCTGTCTGTCTGTCTGTCTGTCCGTCTGTCCGTCTGTCCGTCTGTCCGTCTGTCCGTCTGTCCGTCTGTCCGTCTGTCCGTCCGTCCGTCCGTCCGTCCGTCTGTCCGTCCGTCCGTCCGTCCGTCCGTCCGTCCGTCCGTCCGTCCGTCCGTCCGTCCGTCCGTCCCTCCGTCCGTCCGTTTGTTTGTTTCAATACCGTTTGCGAGCTCAGTTTAAAAGCTAGCGATCTGAAACTTTCACAGTCGTCTTAAAACATGTGTACGCAGATCAATTTTAAAAATCGACCCGATCGGACGGCTATATCCTATCGCTTATAATCGGACAATTGGACATATCTTTCAAAAATTGATGATATTTCGCGCAGTGTAAAAGCTATTGACATGACTCTTTCCAAATCGTATTTTTTTATATATACCTTGATCAGGAAAAAGCGCGTGCCGATCGGACGTGTAAATCCTATAGCTCCCATAGGAACAATACGGTGAAATCGGTCCAAACTTGATGTTTTTCAGAATATATCGCCATAAATTTTTCCAAGTCTTATTTATTTACGCATACCTTGATCAGGGCAAGGGCGCTTGATGATAGGACGTCTATATCTTATAGGTTCCGTAGGAAAAATTCTTAAAGGCGGTGAAAATATCCTTCTTATACCCGTTACTCGTAGAGTAAAAGGGTATATTGTATTTGTGCAAAAGTATGTAACAGCTAGAAGGAAGCGTTTCCGACCCTATAAAGTATATATATTCTTGATCAGGGTCACTAGCCGAGTCGATATAGCCATGTCCGTCCGTCCGTCCGTATACGCTGAGATCTCGGAAACTATAAAAGCTAGAAGATTGGCATTTTGCATGCAGATTCTAGGAGTTCCTCGCAGCGCAAGTTTGTTTCAAAATGGTGCCACGCCCCCTTTAACGCCCACAATCGCTTATATACGATTTTAAAAATTTAAATATTTCGGAAAAGTAAAAATGCAGTGTTATTGTGTTTATCAATACCTATCGAAATGTAGAAGAAATTTTTCAAATCGGACCATTCGTTAAAAAGTTATGCGTGATCAAAGTTTCTATCTCCATCTCCCTCGCACTCCCTTTACCTGAGTAACGGGTATCTGATAGTCGGGGCACCCGACTATAGCGTTCTCTCTTGTTTTGGGGTCGATTTTTCGTCATTTTAATGATGTTACCCCTTTCCAAATTTTCGAAAAATGGCTTTGCTGAAAAGTCACCTAAAACCTGCACTTCTAAGCCCATAACTTTTCTTACAGACATCCGATTTACTAACAGCATACTTCTAAATGATTGAGTTTAAATTCTCTAAAAATCTGTGTTTTCAATTTGCTTCGTATTTTTGGGGTCGATTTTTCGTCATTTTAATGATGTTACCCCTTTCGAAATTTTTGAAAAATGGCTTTGCTGAAAAGTCTCCTAAAACCTGCACTTCTAAGCCCATAACTTTTCTTACAGACATCCGATTTACTAACAGCATACTTCTAAATGATTGAGTTTAAATTCTCTAAAAATCTGTGTTTTCAATTTGCTTCGTATTTTTGGGGTCGATTTTTCGTCATTTTATTGATGTTACCCCTTTCCAAATTTTCGAAAAATGCCACTCCACGGGCATGTATTTTACGGAGGTGGATGTGACCGCCAAAAATGCAGGCGATTTCAAGTGAGTATTTTATCTTAAAAACATGCCAAGGGCACCACGATAACAACAAACCAAAAACAAGAGAGAACGCTATAGTCGGGTGCCCCGACTATCAGATACCCGTTACTCAGGTATAGGGAGTGCGAGGGAGATGGAGATAGAAACTTTGATCACGCATAACTTTTTAACGAATGGTCCGATTTGAAAAATTTCTGCTACATTTCGATAGGTATTGATAAACACAATAAAACTGCATTTTTACTTTTCCAAAATATTTAAATTTTTAAAATCGTATATAGGCGATTGTGGGCGTTAAAGGGGGCGTGGCACCATTTTGAAACAAACTTGCGCTGCGTAGGAACTCCTAAAATCTACATGCAAAATGCCAATCGTCTAGCTTTTATAGTTTCCGAGATCTCAGCGTTCATACGGACAGACAGACAGACAGACGGACATGGCTAGATTGACTCTCCTGGTGATGCTGATCAAGAATATATATACTTTATAGGGTCGGAAATGTCTCCTTCACTGCGTTGCAAACTTTTGACTTAATTTATAATACGCTCTGCAAGGGTATAAAAAGCAACTCGGCTCTAATGACCGTTGATAGCCAAGGGGCACGGTCTTGCCCACTTGCTCTCCTCCCTCCCACATCATGAAGTTGGCAGTGTAAAACCTCCGTCCCCTGCTACAATTCATCCAACCTCAGCGAATAATCGCGATGTCAACGACTGCAGCAACTGCAAATAAAGCAAATTCTAAAAACTCTGAAGCGGCCCAAGCCAGACAGACCGGAATGGATCTCTACATTCGATCACTAACCAATTAATACAACGAATATGGTCACAAAATTTTTGAATCGGGAGGCCCCACAGCTGGTAGCGGCTGGCCCCGGACACTTCGTGTGCCTTCGGGTTTTTTTCGCTCCCGTTCTAATTCTCATTTTGACGCTCGCGCGCTTATTACTCGAGTTCGGTCGTTCAGTCGCAGAGACGCGCATTTTGAAGAAGGTTGCCCTGCGCTTGAATTGGGCTTTGAATGTGTACGTGTTCATGCATCATTTCGATGCAGCAAGAATATTTTGTCTTTTGCTACTTTTCAGACTTGGTACCCTAACAATATGGACGTATTCACTATTGGGTTAATGATAAAAATAAGAATATTATATGTTATAGTATATTTTTTAATATTTCAGCATATATTTCATCTTGGTTAACAAATTCAAATCAGTGGTAGCAGAAAAATGTTTTGCATATATGTATGTATTCCAAATAATATAAATCAATCTAATGAGATAGGAACAGGGCACATCGCAGTCGGTGTCTGCGCTTAGTGGTTCAGAAAACTTCAAACCAAATCAGCTTTGGTTGTTGTTCTGCGAGCGGATGGTCCCTGCATACCCCACCGACGATTGAATTTTAGGGGTGGGGACAGAAACAAGAACGGCTGTTTGGCTTTTGTTTTGTTTACATTTTTTAAGACACTTGTTTTGAATGATATGTTTAATGAGTTTTGGTTGATTTTTTTTTTTTTGATTCGCAGTGTAATTTTGTTTAATGTTGTTATTTAATGATCTAGTTGAATATATTTTTATGTTTGCTTACTCTTGAAAGTCGCCGCTCGAATTAGTTACCGATAAATATACATATGTACATATAATAATTTTATAATTTTAATCTTGGAAAATAACAAATTGTTTAACCACTATAAGGTACAGAAAAAAAATATTCGAAGTGATTTGCTTAAATTTATATTACTATATTAAATCAAGAAGTAATCTTTTAATGATTTTTAATATAAAAAAAAACAAGAAAGGAAAGCTAACTTCGGGCGGAGCCGAAGTTGATATACCCTTGCAGAATATTCTATAAACAAGAAAGGCAAGCTAACTTCGGGCGGAGCCGAAGTTGATATACCCTTGCAGAATACTCTGTAAATTATATTCTCCAAAATTATTCATATGATGCATTCTTAATACTCATAAAAAATCCCAACATCTTAACTTTAAAAACACCAAAGTTATAGCATTTCCAATCGTTCAGTTATATGGCAGCTATAAGATATAGTCGGCCGATCCTTATGAACTTT